GTTGCTCCATATAATGTGGGTAAGTGTTTTTTATAAATTTTACAAATACTAGATATAATTATAGTCTGGACTAAGGCCGGCTGTGCGTGCACAGCCGGGTCCAATCTAGTAAAATCAATAACATTATACATTTAGTATAACAGAAAAAATATATGGAATTCCAAACTTTTGGGGCTATAGAATTATGTAAGTTTCTCAATTCATCAACACATTAACAACTGCCATTCAAAATCATAGAAAATATATGAAATATATTTACATTGGACTTTCAATTGAAATTTCATCATTTTTTTTGTAGCGGATTTTTTTTTTTTTTTTTTTCATATAAAATGTTAGATATTTTAAATATAAGTATTGACTTCACAAGTCCCAGGGTGGGGTTGCCCTAACTGAAAACTGATTTATATATATGAATCCCAACCGCCCAAATAAATAAGGAAGGAAGCTTTCTTGATCAATATATATCGTGGTCCATTTTAGGGTGTGTTTGGTAAAACTAGCTGATAAGTTAGCTGATAGCTGATAAGCTAGCTTATAGCTTATATGTGATAAGCTAGCTTATAGCTTATAGCTTATGACTTATAGCTTATAAGCTAGCTTATATGATAAAAGTGTTTGGTAAAAGTAGCTTATAAGCTAGCTGAAATAAAAAATTCAACGAGCTTATTTTGAAACGCTACCTAAACAAGTTTATCAAATAAGCTCGAGCTTTTTAAATAAGCTCGTCCTACCAAACAGGGCTTATTTAATACAGGAAGCTTATAAGCTAATCAAATAAGCTATAAGCTAGCTTATATGTCATACCAAACATACCCTTAATGGTCATCTTTATTTGGATAGCACAAATTAAAGGCCTCGTGTTCGAGCCCTGGGAATGCAGCAGTGTTAAAACTCTTGAGAGAGAGTTTTGTCGCCTTTGTGGTCCTACCCGGCTCGATTTCGAATTAGTCGGTTCCCCTGTAGATCCAGAAATTGGAAGGTCTCTGTACCAAAAAAAAAAAGGCCTCCTATTTTTACCAGACATATTTGCTAGAAGGTGGACCTTCACAAAATTGGAAGTACATTTTTATTTATAAAGTAACAAAAATAGGCATTAGGATTAAACATACATAATTAGCCTATTATTCCCCTCAATAACCATGGAATGTCCAAATACTTACAGCATGCTTGGATAATACAAAATTTTTCAAAAAAATCCATAGCTATATTTGAAGTTCACGTGTTTGTGACCAGGGAAGTAATTGATAGGATCGGGTATAATGTTGGCTAGGTTAGGAGGGAGTCTGAGTCGAGTAAGTCCAAACTTACTTTGTGCGTGCAAATCAATCTATCAATGAAAGAGCTCTGAGTGGTAGTGAGACGCTCCCCAAAGACATATTTGTTTTGATATTTGTGATTCTGCAATTTATTTCTATGTGTTGGAACAAAATCTTAGAGCATGTTTGTTTATAAGAAATTACAAAAAAAAAATTCAATATTTTAACTCAAATATTTTTCTTAACACAACTTTAATTCAACCCCATTATAATCAATATTATCAATATAATTAAATAATATCAATCAATCATTCTTACACACCACATTACTTTAATTCACTATTCATCTACTCGCATAATTTTAATTAACCATCACTTCAAATCTTCTCTCCCCTACTTTACATCAAATCAACTATTTTAAAAATTATTTTAATATACACACGAATAACTAATCATACCAACTTTTTAAAAACTAACAAACCAAACAAAAAAATTCAAACAAAACCAATTTTTTTTTTATTACACGGAAAATAAACCTACATGCACTGACTCCCTGTGTGAAGAAATAATTTATGTATTTTCATCAATTGGGTCTAGTATTTAGCAATTATGTACTTTTCTTTAATTTAAATATATTATGTCCATTGACAAGTACCGAACCCAATGTGGTAAAATTAGGTGTATTCATCTCGTATTTTTAAATATTTTTTGAGATTTTTAGAATTTTGGTATATTGATAAACTACAACAACACCCGTGTATTACACGGGTGCTTGCTAATTTTTTCTTAAAATTTAAAATTAATGAGAAAAAGTAATTGAAAATTTAAATACCTTTTATAAAAATATATATATTATTTATTTAGTATGACACTTTTTATTTGTGCGACTTACCTGTGTTATATTATAATAATTTTTTTTGACTTACAACATATAACTACATTAAACAGAAATATTTCAATTGAGAAATAATTTTATTTTTCTAATGAATTTTAATAAATATTATTATTTATTATTATTATAAAGATAAATATTTATTTATTTCATATATACAATATGGATGTCAAATCGAAGATCATCAAAAAATGATTAATTTGATATATTATATATGTAAAACTGATATGAAATACAAAAGTTATCAACTTTTAAAATACATTTACAATTTAAGAGCTAATTGAAGGAAACAAATCAAAAGTTATGGATATATTAGTCACTTAATATCTCACTTTGTAAAATTACAAAGAATTCAAGGGTTATATTAGTACAAGTGATATTCAAATACCTAAGTTAGCTAAATAATATTTTTGGAATGTCCGAACCTAGATTATTAATTATTAATATATCAATATTATTTGTCCAAACCTAATTACGAAGCATGATTCTTCGCCAAGTAGGATTTCGAAGCACCAGAAGCAGCCACTTAGGTTTAGCGCATTCAAGAATTATATATAGGAAGGATTTGGACTTTTAGAAACACATAAAAGTTTGACATATTCATGAGATTTGAAAAGATTTTTATAGAAAAAATAAGTTAATCAATTTTTTATCAAAAGATTTTTATAAAAAAAAAAAAAAAAGTTGTTCAATTTAGGAATCACTTGGATTTATCTGAACTTTTATTGGATATAAGATAAATTACAATATACGAAATTTCATGTATAATTTCACCATCAAACATAAGATCTAAAAGAATTAAAGTTATATATTTTTTTTTGGAAAAAAAAAAGTCTTGAATTTAAAATTATAGCATAAGATTCCAATTGAACAATAATAAAATGAAAAAATCCAATTTCGAGTCCTGGTGAATGCAGAAAATTCTTGTTGAGAGACTCACCTACCGTTGTCAGGTGTGCTACCTGGGTCGACCAACCGATTAAGCAAGACAAAACTCTAGATACCGTGGCTGCCTAAAAAAAATAAAGTATAATAATAATCTCTCAACTATCTATCAAGTGATTAATAATTTTCAAGCTCCTAGTACATAAAGCAACAAAATGATTGGAAATTTTCTATCACCAACTCCTTTTTTATTTTTGGTCGACATTGTTTTCAAATGACTCTCCACGACATATTGAATGGACACGAGTAGACATGGCCAAAATCCGGGCCGGGTCGTGCCTGCCGGACCAAAGGGTTGGGTATGGCGGACCCTGAACCGGTACGGCTTAAGTTCGTGCCGTGCCCAGCCAGGTCTTGACCCGTCTTAATAAAAAAAAAAAAAAAGAAAAATTCAAAAACTATACATTTTTGTTGTGTCGGCCTTGACCCGGTCCGGACTCGGTCCGGCCCGGCGGGTCGGGGTTGGAAAAATCCTGACCCGGGATTGGCCCTTATGAAATCTGAGCCGAGCCCAGACCCGTGGTCAACGGGTTTGACCGGGCCGAGTTCGGGCCGAGTCCGTGCCGGGTCGGCGGACCGGTTGACCCGTGGGCATGTCTAGACAGAGTATACCTCTGGGGGACATGTATCATTAATATTTGAGAAGGTTACAAACACCAATTATCATATTTATTTTACTGGAAAATGCTACGGCCCTGTTACGGAACCATTCCGACGAATTTGTAACCGTTAGATTAATATGTAACTGAACTTTAACCAGTTACATAATGATCTAACGGTTACAAATTTGACTGAATGGTTCCGTAAATGAACCTTAGCATTTCTCCATCTTAAAAGTGCACTAATTCTTACTTAAATTTTGTATGATTATATTATTGATATTTAATTATGTTTTATGTCTGGCTTCATCCACAGACACCAAGAAATGTCATTTTACAGTACAAAAAAGGGAAAAATAAAACTAAACCAAATATTAACCAAAAAAAAAAAAGAAAAAAAGTAGTAAAAAGCGCCAAAAATCAAAAGCTAACATTTTTGTACATAACTGGCAAGTTACAGAATACAAAGCATGCAACCAAACTTCATAATTTTGATAATTATCTTATTGAATTTTGTTGACCACTACCAGTTGATTTAATTTCAGCCTCACTGAGCCTAATCTCCTCCTTCATCCTTCTTATGAAATCCTCAAACTTCTGATTCAATTCTTCTGCACTCAAAACATCATCACCAGCATCATCATCTTCATCTTCATCGTAAAAAAGGCAGCAAGTCTCGGTGACCCCACTTTCGTCGTTTTCGATTAAGTCTTCTCTCTTAGCGTCTTCTTCTTCTTCTTCATGACTATCTGCGATAAAAATCGAAACTTGGGTCGGGCATGCGAGTTCTTTCCCCCCATCATTTTCCACTCCATTAGTTTTTGTTTCTTTTGCCCGACTTTCGTTTTCGTACACTATTATCATGTCTTTGTCGGAAACGGGCACAAGCTCGGGCTCTAGTCCGACGAAGTCATCGGCTCCCTCGTGCAGCGTGACTTCGTTTGAGCCCGAGTCGGGAGGAGAACAACTGACCACCGAGGCTGACGTTTTGGTCACGAGGAAAAAGAGCGTATTACAGACGAGGAAAATGCAGTTTTTGTTGGTGGCAACAAGGCTCAAAATGTGGAGTGTGTTTGGAGAAATATTAATATTGTAATGAAGATTTTGGGAGGATAAGAAGAAAGGTGAGGAGAAGAGAGATGAGCAGGAAAACAGCAAGGAAAATACAGAAAGGGATAGTAGGAGTAATTGGGTGACCATTTTCTTGGAAGTTGGTAGTTAGAAGAAGGAAATGGGAAGATTTGGATAAATATATAGCCATACAAGGGTGACAAATAATGGGACTAGAATTAAATGGAGCATGTGATGACATGTCAGAGAACAACATTGATATTAGGATTTATGCACTTGATTACGTGGTGGATTATTGGTATTTGTCTATTTGGTACACATATTATTCAATTTTTTTCTTTCTTTTTTTTTT